ACGAAGCATATTTTTAGTGGATAACTAATTAAAAACTGCCACCAGCAGCTCCAAGAAGAATACATTAAAACTATATTTCAGCTTGGTAAAATAAAATACCATCGAAGAAGACATAATGTTGACTTTAGAGCCATTTAAACTGCCAGTTATAATTTTCTGTAGAAATAAGCGATGAAGAACATAATATTGCTTGTACAGGTTGCTGTCATATTTTCAGCATCTGAACAGATGACAGAGAACCTCAAATGTTTGGGAAGGAAGTAATTATGGATGTTCCAGGCAATCTCCCTGATTTATCCTCCTCTGTTAAACACAAACAGCCTGTCGCCTGAATGCATCACAAAACCGAACCACAGATTTAATTATATACCAGATATTTTATTACAGCTTTTCTCAGGAATACATCTTAGCAGTAAAAACAAGCTGGTCGTTTATTACTTTATAATTTAGTTTTTTTCAAAACAAAACCCTGTATTAGTTTTTACTTTCATTATCTTTTATTCAGTGAATTGTGAAGAGATGTTTTGAATGAGAATCCCATCAAAACTCCCACCGATAATGATTTTCAGATTAGACCTGCATGTTTATTTACATCGTGTGAATCAGAAGAATTAGAAGTTTAAAGTCTCTAATCAATCAATAAAGAAGGAACAGAAATGATTTCTAGGAAACAAGTAGAAAGAAAGACATAAAGTGCACATGTGAAAGTTACTTAATGTATTTTATTAGCATTCACATAGTTTGTGAAAACATAAATAACCAACCTGAGCTAACTGCTTCCAGACTGAAATGCACTAACACTTTAAAAAAAAAAAAAAAAACATATATATATATATATATATATATGTATAAATTTTTTTAGGAATTTTTAAAGATGGCAAGCATTTTAGCCTTAATTTTGGTGTTGGATTAGTTTCCCAGGGAATAATTCAGATTATTGGGTTAAGGATTTAAGAATTTAAAATTCTAACTTTAATCTCAAAATTCTGACTTAAATCTCACATTTCAGACCTTTTTTTTTTTTTTTTTTTTTTTACAGAATTGTGATCTTAATCTTAAATTTTAGCCTTTTTTCTCAAAATGTTGATTATACTCTATAAATCCTGATTTTTGTTTCTCAATTCTGATTTTAATCTCAGTTTTCATCTTTTTGTTTCCCCTCAGAATTCTGATTTTAATCTCAGAATTTAGACAGTTTTCCTCAGAATTTTCAATTTAATCTTAAAATTGTGCACTTTTATCAAAATTCTGAGCAGTTTCAGAATTAAATTTATTTTTCTCAGAATTCTGAGTTTTTCAGAATTTTGACTAAAATCTCAAAACTCTGATCTTTCCTTTTTTATTATTTACAATTCTGACTTAAATCTCAAAATTGTAACTTTTTTTTTGTCATTCTGACATTACATTTTTTTAAATTGGCTAAATATGGCCCAGAAGACAAATTTGTAATTCTTTTTTATAAATAGTGTTTTATTTAGTAAAGTCATCATCATGTGACTTTAGCAGATTATTCCACAGATTTTATGGAAAGCTTGAATCTATAAAAACTAAACTGAGTTAAATATATTAAGTTGGTTTCAAGAAAAATTCACACAATCCACAAATTATCATTTCACCTCTGCAAAATGACGCACCTTGAACGTGTTTTGATGTTTTAGTAGTAAGAAAGAAAACTGGCTTTTTTAATTTGGGTTTTATTGCGCGAGTTGTTTATTTTTAAAGAATAGTCGAGTTATTTCCATGTTATTTAATGACATTTTAATGTTTTCAGATGAGACGCGCTCAGTCTGCTGCGTTCTTTCACCCCAGACTGCACCGGTTCCCCAGACGATGATTTAATTTTTTTAATCAGCTGCGTTTAATCACATTCCCCTCTTGTGGGCCTTTCAGGAGCAGCAATTACACCTGAGAGGGAAAGTAATGAGACATTTACAGAATGACATTGCTAAATATTAAAATAAAAATCCTACATGCAGAGCGGGTGGGGGTTCACATTCGGTCCGTTTTTAGAAGCAGTTATTAGCGATGAAAGACGGAGAGGAAACAAAAATGAATTTAATTTGATTCATTAGTTTTTTTCTCCTCTCTGTTCATCACTCTGTTGACTCATGTTGGGCCGGTTTGGGTTGAAATTATAGATATTAATCTGCATTTGGTGCAGGAAGGTGCGTCCTGTTTGTTTTCTGCAGTTGGAGCGTGTCTGTTTGCGGTTAATGGACGAAACGAGAGAAATATGGTCAAAACAAGCAGATGGTGATTAAAGATGAATATAAATGTCATCAGCGGAGAGGAAATGCTCCTCCTGGACGGTTCTGACAAATCACCATCAAACACTCGTCAGTCATTTCAGAGAAAAACACCACATGAGCTTCTCTAACACATCCGGCCGCCTGTTGGCGAATGTCAGCGACTGATTGATGGAAACTGATTTAGTCTGTCATTGGCTCAAACTGCTGATTCTGGATTCAACAGATTAATAAAGTAAAGTTCATTTAACCTTCACAGAGTCAAAATGGAAAAAATCCACCAAGATCTTGAGAAAAGAAACTTTATAAGACTTCATGTAAAACCTTTTCAGATTAGTTCATTTGTCTAATTTTGATCACTGCATTTCTCCTGCTGTTAAACACAGTGGAGGATCTGTGATGCTGCGGGCCTGTTTCTGCTCTAAAGTCACTGGGAGCCTGGTCAGAATGCACTGAAATACCAGGATATTTATATAGAGCTACATTAGAGCCATAAAGTTTGGTCAAAGAAAAATCACTGAGAGTGTTTTATTTTTTTGTTGTTGTTTTTTTTTTTTTATCTGGAAACATAAATTTTGCATCTGGAAAAAGTAATTTGAAACTGAAAATATTTTCATCTAATATTTAATGAAAAAAAAGATATACAACTGTTTTTTATTAAATAAATTTTTGAAACTGAAATAAAAGTCAAATTTTTTGAAACAAAAAAATTTTGAACTGAATTTTTTTTTTAATATGAATAAAATATTTGAAACCGGAAAAATAATTTAAACAAATTTTTAAAACTAAAATAAAAAATTACAATAATTTCAGACTAAATTATTTGAAGGGAAAGAATGATATAAAATTGAAACAAAAATTTTTGGATCTGAAAAAAATTCAACCTGATTTCATTTCACTAAAAGAAAAAATAAATTGATTTGAAACTGAAAAGGAATTTTTGAAACTGAAAAAACATAGGATACTGAAAAAATAATTAATCTGAAAAAATTGCAAATGAAAAAACTGAAACAATAATTTGAAGTTGATAAAAATAAAATAAAAATAATTGTTAGAAATTGACAAAAAAAAATGGAAGTGGAAAAGTCTAAATCCACTTTTCAGATTCAGTTTTTTTCTTCAGTTTCAAATATGTGGTTGTGTTTTAAAGTGGGCATTTTTATGTTTTAACATTGGTTTTCAGCGTCTTTTTTTTTCTTTTGGCCCAGATTTAACTCCATACCTTTTTACTGAAAAATATCACCATGTCAGTTCCCACTCTTTAATTGTTTAGAACCTGCTAAAAACCATGTCTAAAAATTAAAACAAGCTAAAGTCGCAGTTTGTCTCCAATTTTTGACACTTTTTCGCCTCCATATTCTCTTCCTGTTAGAGTGACTAATACAGGAAGGGCATTTCAGGAGAGTTAATGGATCAGAGACATGTCAGACACGATATTCAAGCTGCTGCCTGCGTGTGTGTGTGTTCTCGGAAACAGATGTCACCTCCCATCAGGTGGAGAAGAGGAAATCTGGAAGAAAATGAAAAATATTCAGCCTGATTTTTCACTGCTGATGGATGAAAGTTAACATCCGTCCATCGTCGACTAGGCCCACATTTAAATATTACACACATATACCTAAATATTATTTTACAAGTCAAATCAAAGCAATTTTTATCTGTTTATTGCCAAATTACATCAATTAGTCCCTCAACAGATCCACAAACTTTTTTTGTGCTAATGTATTAATGTGAGTTTACTGCAAATTTTCTGCTAAAATGATCATTAGGTTTAAGTGATGGTATCTCCCACCTGTAGGTGGCGGAGTTTCTTACTTCTACTACTCTGTTGCCTCAACTTCATGAAAACATGACAAAAAGTCACATTTACTGTCTTATATAAGTATTAATACTGTTAGTTTTTTGCAAATATTTCTAAACTAGCACCACAAAAAGAAATTGCGAAATCCTGGAGTGACGCTGTACTTTTCCATTAATTTTAGTAATTTTATTCTGAAGTATTTCTGGTCTTACTTGAGTAAAATGTCTGGATTTTCTATCCACAGAATGAAAAACAAACATGTTTTAATCAACAATTCACCAAACAGACAAACATCTGGAGGTTTTGTTAACATTTCTGAACTTTTATACTGAAATAAACTGATTTGGAAAACATTTTTTTTGCCTGATTTTGTCATTTTTTGCTACTTATATGAATTATTGCCATTTTGGTCCTGAAAATACCAAAATCTACATTTAACTTTGTTGTTTCGTCTGATGATGTGATTTTTAAATATAAATGATCAATAATTGCATCAATTTCATATTACTTGAGTAGACTTTCTACCAAAAACATATGAACTTTTACTTGCATAAAATTCAAGTATATAATTGCTAATTATTTGATTTGAAAACTTATTTGGAGGATCAGTTAAAGTTCAAATTGTTATTAAACAGTGTCCTCTTGTGGCGTCGCTTAAGAACTACATTTTCCAAGGTTTATTCATGAACGACATGTCCCGCCTCCTTTTACCATAATAACCAATCACAACTCAGGCTGACCTAGAAAGTATAAGCAAAGCCCCCAGCGCTGACTGTAAGGTAAACACTACCTCAAATCTACAGAAATTCAACATGTATTTCAGAAAATTGTTGGAATATATTTAATTTCTAAAGCACACAGATGCTGTAAATCATTTGAAGGGTACACTTGCGTCAATAATTTGGCAAGAAATACCTGCAAGTCATAACGTAGGGCGAAATTTAACCCGTTCACTCTGCTTGGGGTAATTAGCCTTCCAGGCAGCAGAATCAGTGTTGCGCTCTGGACTGATGATAATTAGCTTTCTAAATGTGACCTGTGTCAACGTTGTCTGGAGGAAAGACGTCCTGTAACATTTTGTAAAACGAGGTAACGCCGTTTTTTTTCTGTCAAAACTAACCCTACAATGGGCAGAAGGCATTTATTTGTAACTGTAACTTGCTGTCCGCGTTTGTAAACCGTAACAAACTTTTGAACTGCGAGCTAACGGTTTTCTGTGACGCACTTTCTCGCTAATGCCGAGAGACGAATCAGATAATTTTGTTGGTTTACGTTCGTACTGTTTTTTGTGTCTTTTAACTCTCGGTGAGTGGGTCCCAGTGGGTGGTTTGTTGTGGCGTGAACGCCATGGAGACACGGAGGGTGGGACTTTCATTTTGTCTTTTTTTTTTTTAGTTTAATGGTTTCTAGGCAACGAGCCGCTGCTGTAAAAACCTGCATTTTGCATCCGATCTGCTGCTCCTTTCTCTGGTTGTTTAGAGGTGATAAATAAATTACGTTTTTCGTGTTACAAAGGTTTGCATTATCTAGTTACTCAGTTACATTTACTTGAGCAGCAGTCCTGAAAAAATAAAAGTTTTAGAAGTAGCTTTACTACACACTATTTACTACTGCTCATAAATCTCAATTGTTGGTTTTATACGTTTATGTTGGAGGAAAATATATTAGGACATCTTTTTATATCAAAATGACCAAAAAAGAAAGCAGTGTAGAAATAAGCAGAATATTCATTTTAAAGTCTGCTGAACATAAAAATGCGTTTTAAAAGTTTTTTAATCCTTTTTTATTAATTTCCAAATTCAGCAGCTGTTGAAATACTATATTCTCACCAAATTGTAGCTTTAGATTTTCAATTTAGGCCACAAATACAGACTATTTGGCAAAGTCCTTTCAGATGTTATTTATTTCAGTATTACTTTAAGCATTGGCCAACCAAAATATGTTGGATGTTTTTTCATTCACTTCAAGGTTTAAGATAGTTTTGGGTTTTTCATTACAGTTTAGTTTTATTTTGTTGTGACTTTTTGTCTAATTCAGTTAATTTTGATTAGCTTTCAGAGTGGTTCTGCTACTTTTTGTTTAAAATATTGTTTAGTTTTTCATTACTTATAGTAGTAGTTTTATTTTTTTCATACCTTTGTGATTTATTTTTTTTGACAGAATGAAAAAGGTGAAAGTTATTATCAAGTATTACTTAAGTAAAATTTCTGGATTTTTCACATCCAGAATGAAAAACAAACATGTTTTAACCAAAAATTCACCAGACGCAGACACACACCTTCATTTTTTATTGAAGTTTTTTATTGAAAGAAACTCATTTTGAAAAATTTTTCTTGGCCTGATTTTGTTATTTTGTAATTATGTTATTTATATTTATCATTTTGGTCCTTAAAATATCCAAATTAACTTAACTATTTGTTGCTCCATCTGATTATGTAATTTTTTTATATTAAATGGTTGATTATTTGATCAATTACTCAGTAAATACATTTTAATTTTATTAGAGTAAAAATATGTTGATGTAAAGCTACTCGAGTACAATTTTTGGATACTCTCCCCAACTCTGCTTTAAATTACATTTTTATTAATTTGAGTTAACAGAAATGTTTTTTAAATTATTTTATTTCGTCAGTTTTATTAACCTTTAGTGACAGTGGTCCATTGCGTGAGCCTCCAGTGTCCTTGGCTCTGCTTGGTGAACCATAAGGAGATTATCAGTCAAATATCTGAGCCGGCTAGCAAGCCGTGCTTCACCTCATCCTCCTGTCGCATTTATTCTACCTGCATTTTTCTGTTTTTTTCCTCAACATGACCTGATTTCATCACCATTTAAAATAAAAAAACAGTTTTATTTTCCTCTTTTCACCCTTAATTTCTATAACGTCCATCCAAGATGGCAGCTCGATGAATGTCAGCTGATTAGCGTTGTAGATGTCTGCTGGTGATGGGGGTCTGTTGGGTGTCAGTGAAGCCCCCCGTCAGGAGTTTAGAGCAGATTAACCCCCATATGGCAGCTGAGATAAACCCTCAGTTCTGCAGGGAGATTGAACGAGTCAACAGGTGAGCATTTATGTTTCCTCTGATAAAAACAATAGATTTTAAAAAGTCGGCCGCTCCGTGGGGTTTTATTGTAGCAACACAGCAGCGAACGTTAATCTCACTTCTCTGTGTGAAGGCAGCAGCCTCGTAACGCTCAAGCAAACAAGACTGAACTAAATAAAACAATGAGGTGAATAATAAGACAGTAAATAAACATCTGTAACAATCCCTCTGAGATCACATGACACACAGGCACATTTTGAGACATTTTTTTGTCTGGCATCATAAATATATTACCATATATTATCACCAAACTAAAATGTAAAATGTAAAATGACATAAAATATGTCTCTTCTATGCAGTTTAACAGGATTACCGTTCTGTAATCAGTTAAAATCTGATGACTGTTTAGATGTGCAGAAAACAACAAGACAAAACAAAACTTCTGCTTGTAATTTTAAAATCTGTGTGGCCATTTATTGTTTTTATTTTTATTTTTTGTTTCATTTGGTATTTGTGTGTCTCCCTTTTACTTTTGTGATTTTGATTAATAATTTAAATCTCAAAAATAACTAAAATTTTCATGATTATACTAATAATTAAATATATATATTAATTTTCTTGTATATTTTTATTCAAGAAACATTTATTTTTTCTTTTGTTTTTGTAATTGATTTTTATTTTTCTTATATAGAGTAGAATATAATTTATTGATCCCCAAGGGGAAATTACTGATTTGTTCACAAGCTACTGCATCCAAAGTGATAAGCAGTAAATACAATACAACCATAATCAATGATACAATTTAAAATTTATTTTGAAAAATTCTAATATAAAATTTTTTTCTTTACAGAGAAAATTAAGTATATTTATTTTAATTGAGTGTATATATTCCAGAATAGCTCCCTGTTGACAAACATTCACCATTGTTCATTTTTTTCTTCTCTACGGAGGGCCAAATATGCCAACATCCAGTAACTGTTGCCAAATACATATTCATAAATGTGATCATTTAATATAAAACTCAATGCATAACTAAAGGCTCAAAATATGGAAATACACAGATATGATTTAAAAAAAGTTATAATTGTCTTGTGGCACTTACAACCTTCCATAGTTTAAATTGACAAGTTTGCCATAAATCAGCAAAGAAAAAACATGAAGTGATTACTGAACCATATAATAAACACCAGAAATAAATACATAATTTGTTGCATTTCAGGACTTTTTTTTTCCATATTTCAATTTTTCTGAACTGCATCGATTTCTGTTGGTCCCACAGAACCTGAGAGCGATGCGACTGCTCGACTAAGAAGCTGAGACGTTAGGGCTGAATGGACAGAAGACAAACCAGACCCGGGGTTCTTCACTGGACTCCGACGCCCGTCCGAGAGTCTGCCTCCTCCACGCTGACATCCGACGACTCCTGGGAGGAGGAAGACAATGACGAAGAGGAAGAGGATGACTTCTTCAAGGAAATGAATGAAGATGGCATCATTGGGCTGTCGGAGGCCTTAGAGGAGTGGGAATTAGGGAACCCGAGTGGCGATCCTTGCTCCCCAGAGGACACGGTTCCTAGTGGAGGCAACAAGGATTCATCTCTGAAGTCCTCTGGAGACGATTTTCAACTCCGGACAGCCAGTGAGTTTATTTCTGCTTTCAAGACTAGATGATTAAATATTCAACATATTTTAAAGAGGAAATACTATAAAAAAATTGCTTTTGCATGTTTTTGTACTTCTTTTTGGGTCTTGACTGCTTCAAATTTTAGGCAGTAAGTTCAATTTTTTGGTGCCTTGAAAATGAGCCCTTTCAAGTCCCCTCTCCCCTTGCTTAGGGTTGCTAGGTAACCAGTGTAAGATCCTACCTGTTGCACCAAAGCGGAGCTCCAGCATGTTTGGTCAGCTGGTTTTACCGCGAGACGGGCTGTACAATGGCTGCTGGAAATGGCAAGGGTTTTGTTGTAGACTTACCATCCAGAAACCACTTGCTGCAATGTTGTTGGTTGTGCAGGAGGCTCTACTAATGCTTTTCAAAGATGTGCGGTTGTATAATTGCACATCTATATAAAACTCCAACCTCTTTGATGTAAAAGTATCTTTTAATGTTTTCTTCCTCCGTAGCAGCAGCTGAAAACCCAGAGTCTAACTGTCTGGTCTCCGAGTCCACCTCCTCCTTTTCGCCTCACCTTGCTGCATTCACCGAGGAGGAGCTGACAGCTACTTCAGAGATCGAAGGAGAAACCCTCCCCGACGCAGAAGTAGAGTCTTCCTGCAGCCGCAGCAGCATGAGGTCCAGCCCGCCGTGCCTGGAGCTGAAGCTCAGAGGTTCTCCCCAGCCAGCTGTGGCCAGTTCTGAACAAGAGAACATTCCTTCAGAAGAATCAGAAAAGCAGAAAGCTGGACTCCCTCCTGGAGCTCTGAAGTCCAGGACGTGTTCCCTCGGCGGAGCCCAGAACGGCTCGCCAGAGGCCAGAGGTCGTGACAGAAACGTGAAAGCTGCTGGAGCCAGAAGTAACCCTGCAGGAATGAATGAGCTCAGGTGGGCTCATCTGACTGATTTCAGTAGCAAATCTTCCTCACTATTCTGTTCATGTAAAAAAAACAACAGCATTTTGCAGTAAAATGTGATTTATTTGATCTCCCCTGAAATCAGTTTCCATTAAGCATGTTTTTTGTTTTTTTTGTAATTTCAAACTGAGGAATTTTATGATGAATGAAAATGCAGCTACTGACACCTAATATCTCAGCTTTCACTTTTGTTTTTCCTTTCCAGGAGAGCATCACTGTCTCATCAAACCCTGAACTTCTCAAAGGTGGAACCCAGGATTCATTTCCCCAAGCAAGGCTACCAGCCCCCGAAAGGCAGGAAGTCGTTAGAGAAAGCCACGATGTCGCCGCAGCCCCCCATCGTGTTTAAATCCCCCGCCGACATCGTTCAGGAAGTTCTGTTCAACAGTGGCGGATCCTCCTACTCCTCCGATTCCAACACGCCCACACAGGGTCCCAACTCCACCGTCCCTCTAGAGTTCAGGTGTCGGCAGCAGGCCACCACTCTGCTGCAACAGCTTCAGGTACGATCTGGAGGAAACGCGCCTCTGCTAGCGTTTCCTAGCTCCTGCAGTAGACCGCTAGCCTGCGCTAGTGGTCTACTGCTGGCTTCTTGTGCACAATGGTGAAAGCGGCAGGGAAATAATAGTTAGATTGGGTAATATGGAAAATTAGCATCACAGAGAACTGTTGATGGGCTGAAGACATTGTGTCAGAAAGAGGAGGAGCTTCTTAAAGAGACAGAGGCCCAATTTCAAGGTTTTAAATATTATGTAAAATTGACTTTTTTGAGCTGTACATCATGTAATAATGTTGTTCTGTCATCAAAACAAACCTGGAGTGTTGCTTTGATTCTGTCATTCATGTTTGAGAAATACTTTGATCACCATGGCAACCATTCAGCTGGGCAAAATGCCTGGGTGGACCTAGCTCCGCCTTCAAGGCACAACTCCTCCCCTGAGCTCCTTCAGACTAGCCAGCAGCAATTAGCAAATGTCTGGTTAAACTCATTAAACAAGCTACCTGTCAGTTCACTGCTGCTGAAAATGTTTTAAAGTGCTAATGCAGGAGCCATGTTGTGATGACGTCAACATGAATACATCATGTAAATGTGTCAGATTTCCTGAGGGAGTCTTCCCAAGGGATCAATAAAGTCAAGTCTAAGTCTAAGTCTAATCTGTGAAATGGATTAAAAAAATACAGTCAACATGCTTAGCAAACATACGTGACTTATGATTCACAGTAAGCATTTATAATAAAATTAAAACCAGACGCATCCGTAAGAAGAAAACATTATTTAATTTAAAAATGATTCCAGGCATGAGTACAATTTAGGTTATCTAGTAATAAGTGCTGAAGTAAAACTGTTAAACTTAGTTGAAAAGGATGCAAGTACAATTCAGGCTCAAAAAAGTATATTTAAAAAACAACGTATTTATGATTAAAATGCTATTTTGCTTCATCCATGTGTCCATTCATCCCTCAGAAATTATTTTACTTTATTTCAACTAACTTTCTTTTGTTGTCTAGCTTCAGAATCTGGTTTTCCGGAACAGAGGAATATTTACTCACTTTTTGTCGCTCTGCAGGAAGACTACGATAGGCTGCTGACCAAGTACGCGGAGGCGGAGAACACCATCGATCGTCTCCGTCTGGAAGCAAAGGTAGTTTATCTCCGAGCCTGAGCTCGTTTTTCATATTTCAACCTTTGTGTTTTTTCAGGAAAGCGTCGCTTAGTAATGATGCCGGTGCGATTTATCATTGATCCCACTTTCAAAACAATGACTGCAGTCTCGTTTCCCAAAATTGCTTTTAGATTGAAGATCAGACGGAAGACTTTAAATGGAAATTAAAAAGAAAAATGAAATCCAGCTGTCTTTGTTTATTTTATTTGACCACTCTGCAGCTCAGCGAAATAATGCGTCGTTTTATTCTTGTTTCAAGATGGCGTCTTAACCACAGGGGATCAGCTGAGTGCAAACAAATCACATTTCAGGTGAACATTATGGTAGTTTGTTGAAGGATTGCATCTTTTTAAAGTTACATCCAACTTTTTATCGATGAAAAACAAGTTATTTAGTCAGAAAGGTGTGTTGAATACAAGCTGAAACATTATGACCTATAAAACAATCCCACTTCTTCATTTTAATTTATGTAAAAGGAAAATTCAGCTCAATTCAAATACACTGCAGAAACACAAAATCTTACCAAGTGTTTTCTATTGCAAATATATTAGTAGTCTTGAAAAAGAGAAAACTAAATCCCAAGAAACTCCTCAACAAGAAATATGGGTTTATTGGAAAAGTTCACCAAAAACACTGAGATAATCTGCCAGTGGAACAACTAGTTTCTGCAATTTAAGGAATTATTTACTCTAAGCAAACTCATATTTCTTGCTGAAAAGTTTACATAAATTTTCTCACAATTCAAGTATATTGAAATATATTTCTACTACAAACCAAAACTACTTATTTTGTGCGTACTTTATTTATCCCAAAAGCAAATCAAGTGTTGCAACTCAGACGATCCGAATATCTTCTAAGAGAATCCTCAGTAGCAGTCAGTGTCGCAGTGAATCTGAAGAGGTCTCTGACTGAAGGCGGTTGTTGTTTGACAGTGTTATGAGTGTCGGGTCATGCTAACAGCTCCAGAGTCCAACGTCAGAGACGACGTCCCACAATAACATGTCCTGGACACCAGGCCCTGCTAATCCACCTCATTTGCTTTTGCTGCTACTCTGTCAATCCGTCTGGCTGTGTGGTCAGTAAAGCTGAGGGAAGACTTGGGGTCATAGTTCATTTAAGCTTTTGAGATGCTAATCAGTTGCAAAAATAACTCCTCGTTACCATAGTTACCCATCATAAAAAAACACCTAGAAGTAAAAGAGCAAAAAATCTTTCCAGATTTTATTTCTGTGAATCTTAAAAGGTCAATAAATGAATAAAAGTTAATCATTTATTGACTAAAGTGACTTTAGATGTGCGTAGACTTTAATCTCCTAATAGCATGTAATTATTATAATTATAATTTCTGCCAGTAACCATTTGACTTTCTGTTAAATAAGAAATTAATCTAATTTTCTCTTATAGATTATTTTTAGGTTAACATATTTGCATTTATTTATTTTTTATTAGTTTATTTATATTCAGTAATTGAATTACTTGCATCACTCTCTATATTTTATAAACTTCATCTCTTATGGTTATATTTGTATTATTAATGTTTAACACTTCAGATGGAGTAGCTTGTCAACGAAGCAACAATTTCTCCTTGGGGATCAATAAAATCTATTCTATTCTAATCACAAATGAAAATATCTTGGCCTGACCTGATATTCTGTGGTCCTGCTGTTGGTGCAACCTTTACTTTAACATCCAGTTTCTGGAGACAAAATGTGTAAATGAGCCAAACTGTGAAGTAGAATTAGATATTTGGAAGCAGGTGATTTATAATATTTCTGTTTGTTCGGGTTTTTTCCGTGCAGGTGAACCTGGACTCCGAGCCTCCAAAGGCGGGTCACGCTGTGCCTGCTGGGCTGAACCAGAAGGCTTCATACGCCTTCAAGATGGATTTATTTCACCCTCACAGAGCTACGACCTGCTCTCCTGGACGAGCTTCCCGGCAGGGTAAGGCCGTCGTCCGCTGCCTTTTTCTAATCTGATTCTTTTTTTAAAAACGGAACTGAAGGAATGCGTTTCTGTAACCAGCCTGTTTGTTGAACAGAAAAGTTAGACGCCTCTTCTTTGACATCCGACTTGGGACAGCAACTCTCTAATATCCTCTTCGCTCAGTCTGACAAGTTCCTTCAGCAGGTAACAAAAAATCTAAAACAAAGTTCTACCAACTGGACTTAAAAATGTAAATTTGGATTTTCTTTCCCAGGTGCAAATTTTTGAGGATCTCTTTAAGAAGGATGACCTCGCATCCTTAGAAGAATTAAAGGTGAGAGCAAACCGAGCTTTGATCTGTGATCTGTCTGGCGGCTGTTTTCCAACTTTGCGCCGTTTCTCCCCAGCGCGGCGTTTCTCAGCTCTACGAGGGGCTGAACTCTCTAGAAAGAGGATACCTTCTGGCTCGAGATGAGCACAAGCTCCTGCAGCAGAGAGGACAGGAAACCCGACTTTTTGACCCCGAACGGTGAGCAGGAGAGCCACACAGATGTTTAATAATCAATTATTCTGATGATTAATTGATTAATCGAATGAAAAAACAAGGTGCACATTCTGCAGATTTAAAATATTAGAGATGTAATTAAGTAAAACGTTGTAACTTTGTACAGTTATGACTTAGTTACTGCTCTGAACATGTTCTCCGTTCAGTTAATGATAAATCGTTACTAAATTAGCTGACGATTATTTCAATATTTGATTAATCACGATTAATTGTTTCAGCTCTAAAAACAGTTTTCCAGTTCGTTGGCATGTGGTTGTGTTTCACAGAGTTTGGTTTGCTGTGTTCTAGGAAGCTGGAGAGCCTGATCTTCCAGTGTGGGCTGCGAATGGAGGACCTGAAGGAGCAGGTGGAGCAGATTCAGCAGCAGCAGCTTCAGCATCAGGAGCCGGTTCAGCTGGAAATGTTTCAGCAGAATCAGACTGAGCAGGCGGAGCAGGTTCCGCAGGAACCGATTCAGCAGGAGCTGACTGAGCAACAGGAACCGATTCCAGAGCAGCTTGAGGAGGATCAGATTCAGCAGGAGAAGATTCAGCAGCAAGAGTCGATTCAGCAGGAGGTTCAGCAGCACAAAGCCGCTGCTTCTTGTTGTTCTTCACCTCCTGGAACCTCCTTATCTGATCTGTCTGAAGGAGAAATAACCCAGACTCAACCGCAGGTTCCAGCACTTTCTTCTTTCTGTCTGTTAACGCTTCGCATCTCTGAACGCAACAGAAAATCTGAAAAATGTCTTTGAAGTTGAAAACGTATTTTCTGTACAATTTGGAGTAGGAAGGTCACCTTGAGTAATAAATTTCAGATCCTTTTATTTATTTATTTCACCTGATATTATGCAAACATTATTCAATCAAAACAGGACTGCAGCTCATGATTATTCTGACAATTAATTGATTTTTCCTGACAATTAATCGATTAATCGCAAAGAATTGGCTGTTTAACAGCAGAAAATGCAACCAGACAAATTACCCAGTTCTTTTTAGAATAAGAAATAAACATTTTATTGCCTAAAATATAAAAACAACCTTCCTTTAGTGTGCACTGTGATCATTCGTAGCAAACAATAAGTTTTCAACTAAAAATCTAAGTCAACCATCAGTGTTTGGCTAATTTTTCAAAATTATTTATTGGATTTACCAATTAGTACTGAGACAACATAAAGTATCTAACAAGATGTTTTTTAAGAATGTGATCCAGGTGAAGTTGAAACTACCTGTTGAATTTTGTGTGAAGTTTTTAATATTGTAAATGCAAAATGTATATATTTTTTCTAAAGTTTTGGTGAAACTACCGCCTTGTTGCTCTTTCAGTAACAGTTTTGTGAGTCTGCGTTTTCCAGTTAGCGATTAATTGATTACTAAATTAGTTGACGATTATTTCAAAAATCGATTACTTGTGATTAATCTCATTAATTATTTCAGTTTAATTTTAATTCTGCCTTAAACCAGAATTAAGCACAGAGGTTTGTGTATTAACTCAAACTATAATCACGGTTTCTAAACAATTTTCAGAATACTCTTCAAATGTGCACTGTTTTTTTTTCCCACACATTGATTTAAATAATGTAACCCTGATTATATTTAACAATCATTTTCCCAGAAATTTAAGCTACTATAGTATCTTGTGTTAATGAAGGATTATGGAGGTTAAATCCAGAAGAACGTCTGAAATTTCTACCATAAATATATTTATGTTATGTATAATTCTGACCACAGTTTTTTGATTAAATAAAAACGTTTAAAATAAATATCATTAAAAATGAAGGGCTCCTCTCCTTTCAGAGCCCATCTCTGCCTTCCCAGACGGATTCAGTTTCTGCAGCAGAGCCGGAGACAACATCCGCTTGCAAAAACAGTGAGCAAGAGGCTCAAGAAGACTTCCTGTCTCGCTACTTAAGATCTTTGACTAGAAGGGGCAAACGTGTTGAGTTTGAACCAACTGATTCGGTGGACTAGTAAGTGGAGATTTGCTGATTTAAGCATCTTGTTTTGTTTCTAAACATTACCAGAAAATCAAAAATGACCAGATCTGATGATCGGCAGCCATTTTGGATGTAAATGGAGAATAACAAAGAATCTTTTTTTCCACTCCGTCAGCATGTTTACGTTGCTGTTTTTATTGATTTTTTCTCTGATTAGCTGCCAAACACGGAAGGAGTGTTTCATAGTTCCCAAACCTGCGTCCTCTCTTCCTTCAAACCCGCCTGTGAAGCACGGAGGAGAGAAAGAAGAGCAGAAAGGTTGCAGAAATGGAAACGCTGAAGTCCAGGAAACTTTTGCACAGAGGTGAGTCGAGGTTGAACCACGACTGGCTGTTCTGCCGACTCTGAGCTGATGTTTGTGTCAAATTTGAAAGGGACCTATTATGGAAAATTAAAAATTTTTTTTATGTTTTTATGCTTCCATTTGGGTCTCAACTGCTTCAGAAAACCAGAAACCAAAGTTTTTTGGCATCTGGAGAACGAGGCATTTCAAAAACCTCCTGATTGCCTAGCAACCCAAGAAGAGCTCCAGCACATTTGGTCAGCTGGTTTCACAGTGGCTGCTGGAAAAGACAAGTTGTTTTGTCTTTTCAACCACTTTTCATTCAGAACCCACTTACTGTCATGTTTTGATTCTGTGTTGCATGACTTTGTGTTTTTATGATGTGAACCACTTGGAAAGGCCTTGCTGCTGAAATGGGCTGAACAATCAAATTTGATTGATTGATACTGACTCAACGTCCAGAGTCAACAAAGCCACTTTGCTGCCTTCTTGTTGGTTGTGCACGAGGCTCCACTTCTGCTTTTCAAAGATGTGCGATTGTATAAATCCAAATTTGTTGGCAGCCATTTTCACCTGTGACTGTAAACTTTGCGTTGGGGGGGCGTGGCCAGCAGCAGCTTACCTGGATTTAAAGTGACAGAGACTCTAAAACGCCTGAAATCTCATCAATACAAATGACATTGGTCAAAAACATATTTTGTATTATAACTTGTTATGGGGCAGAAAATAAGTTGAATTTTTGAAAAGCGTTTTTAACGTGTTTATTTTTGAGGTTTAGATCATTTTACCCACTCACCTGTTTCTGCAGCAGAAAAGTGAAATTGGACGTCGTCTCTCTGCGGCGCGCTAAGACCAGCCTTCCCTCATGCAGCCCCCCCTCCACGCCGCCTGCTGCTTCGGCCCGCAGCAGGAAGCGCTTGGAGCGGAGCAGCAGCCTGAGCAGCGCCTGCAGCCTGGCGGACGCAGCGCCAGAATGGAGGAGCTGCAAGGTTGAGACAGGAAGCCGGAGGGTCCCGTCTCAGGTCAGCGCAGGGGGAGACCTTCCTGTTGGCAGCAGATCTAAATCTGCTCCATCAAACAAACACTTCACACAGCAATAGATGTTCATGATCATTTAAAGGTTTGAAATTATCTGGATTTTAATATTTACTTAAACAATCCAGGCTACAGATTGAGAACCGCTAAATCACATGATGTGTAAGACATGCTATAGGATCTTCCAGGTATAAACATTTTTAAAACCAGTTTGGAAACTGGCAATCAACCCAACTGGGATTTGATTTTACTTCATTTTTATTGGCATTGATTTTCTTTGTCTGCCATTTTATTGTGTTTTATTTTTCTTTATCTTATTCATTATTACTGATGTTCAGCACTTTGTTTCAGCTCTGGCTCGAGTTAAAAAGCTTTATAAGTGCAAGTGATGAGGATATATAAGGTCTACAAAATAAGATTTCAGGCGTCACTTTTTCAAAAAACTAAATACTTGCAGCCGATAACGATGCTGTATGTAACTCACAGTGGAGTATTCAGAAACTTTACTCTAGTAAAAGTAAAGCTACTCCTAAAAGTAACATTTTCACAAAAAATGTAAGACATTTTCATACTCATCTTCCAGTGGAACTAATACTTTTTTTATTAATATTGAGTAATTATTTACTTCATAAAGAGCTCCAATATCGTACTGAAAAGTTTCTTATAAGTAGCAATTTTTGGCTTAATTCAAATGTACCGTAAAAAGATATTTGCACTAGAAACTAGAGAAAAATACTTGGTAAGATTCAGTGTATCTGCAGTGAGTTAATGTAACTGAGTACATGTAACTAGTTACTACCCAGCTCTATCACGTCAACAGAAACGTTTCCTCTGTTTTCACTGATCAGGATCGGATCTCCCCAGAGACGGACAGCGGGTTCATGGGCTCCGAGAGCAGTCATCAGATTCCTGGGGTAGTTCCGCTCCGCTACCACCAGGTGGCGACAGAGAGGTGGGGCGCACTGACTCACTGATCCACTTACCGATATTTGGGGTTCAGTATCTGCCGATACAGAAAACGTTTCTCTTTTTAAAAAACAGACATAAATGTTTTGAATTAGAAATTTATTTTATAACTTAAATATACAAAAATATTCACGAGTTTGGACAAATATCAGTAGAATTAGGAGAATAACAGCCGATGTAAAGAAACTAAAACAATACTTTGGTCAAACACGTAAAAATAACCTGCAACAAACCTTTTTCAAAACATGTAATTAGGAATTTTAAATACATTTTAAGTATGTCACAAAACATAGAATTAGACTGAACAGATCCGCTCTGATGGATTGTTTCAGTTTGAATCTGTTGATGTGTTTCTGCAGCGTGTCGGATCTCCAGGACAGAAGCCCAAACAGCCCCCTGTCTGCCTCCCAGCTGGACACGGGGCCTGGATCCGGCACCGAGCCGGGGCTCCGTCAGAGGAGGAGGAGCAGGCAGAGGAGGCGCACCTTCTCCCCCCAAAGCTCCATCAGCCAGAGGAAACAGGCCAGAGCCGACGCCAAGCCCTCTGACCTCTGGACGCTCTTTTACTCCAGCACAAGCAACGGTAAAAACCTACAACAGGTTTCATCTCGGATTATTGTTTGGCAGAGCATAACTCAGAATATTGAGAAAATTTACACATTTTTCTAAATTATTCTAAAGAGCAGCAATGCTATCTGACACATTCACAAAGCAACCAATCCAGGAGCTCCATTTATCGTCCTTGGAGCTGATTGGATGAAAACAAAGAAGTCTGTGACTATAGGGACGTAGCAAGCATTTTAGAGTGAAGTATTTGCAGCTTTTAGCTGCTTAAAGGAAGCTGCATACCAACAATCCAGTACAATTATTATTATTTTTCACTTTACACTACATTTTATTAACATATTGACCCAGAAGTAAACAAAACTCAAATTAAATGTAAAATATACACGACTTATTACCATAAAAAACAGAATGTGAGACTTTTTAGGCATGAAAAAGTATATTTACTTTAGTTACTGAATAATTAGCTTTCATACTGCATTTAACTCAAATGTTCATTCATTTTCATATTTAAATATTTATGTTAGGTAAATAAATTTAAAATGTATTTATTAAACTTCATGTGGGTTCAACACATGTTGGCAAAATCAAGTGAACTGAATGAAGTGACAAACTTGACAGTAAAAGCAAAACAAACACGGTTTTCCCGCCGGGTTCAGTCTTTCCTGTTTCTCCCTCTCAGCTCGCTCCGTCTCTGAAGAGCAGCGCAGCGTCCGCTCCGCCGCCGCCGCTGCTGCCGCCGCCGCCGCCGCCGCCAGCGGCTCTCTCTCCAGCTCCCCGCCGCCCGCCCGCCGCCGCCATGGCGACCCCCCCAGAGGGCGGAGCTCCAGCTGCGGGGGAGGGGGAGGGGGGAACCCCATGTGAGTGTGTGGACGGGCCGTTGCCACGGCGACGTTAAAGGGACAGTGACGCGTTGAATTGGTTCCAGCATCAGTTTGTTTGGTGACAAAGTGAATTAAAGCCTGAATCTGGAAAATAAACATTATTTACAGATGAAACCGTATATTTACACACACCGGATAAAATGGCGGACATGTTCTTTTCCTCGCCGTCTGAAATTTAAATCCTTTTCTTGTTTAGGTCAAAGTCACCAAAATTATTTATGTCTGCTAAACTTTGCATAAAATAATTGTAGATTTTTTTTTTTTTAGCTTTTTTGGAATATTATGGTTTAAGTGTTTAGTTTTTGAATTAATATGTTACAACATTTAATTTCCCTTTGCAATCAGTAAAGTATTTTTTGATTTGAACCAAATTTACTGTAGCACATCTTGATTAGTAGTTTCTATAAGTTATTGATCGTATGGGTTATTGATCTGTGTACTTTAGATAAGGTTTGGCTCATATCCTATACAATAAATGAAGGTATTGACTTTTTTTTTGTCAAATTCCTCTGTTGTTAGAGTGTGAGACGTTTCAAACCATTCCATTTTGTATTATTTTAGTTTAGCTTGTCATTGTTAATAACAGTAATAAATGCTCTTATAATTGTGAATTGAAACTTTTTTTTAATCAGTTTGTGTTGTTTTTATCTAAAGTGGTGAAAACTTACCTTGAAAATGAATTTCACTGTTAGAAAAGTAAAGTGTTTACTTGTTTATATGGTTTAACAACATTCAAGCTTTTCTGTTCCTGCAAAGATCAAGTAGAAAAACACTGAAATCTTTTAGGTGGATATTTACAGTAATTTCAAATGAGAGCATATCTATTTAAGTAAACAAATCCGTTTTATTGGTGTTATGTAATTTCTCCAAACTGAATTTGTGGTTTTTATTGGCTGTAGCCATAAACGCTGAAATTTCCAGAAATAAAACTAGTTAAATTTATCATCTGTGTTGAAACCAAACTGCTGGAATAAATATCCCGGTTTATGGAGATGTTTAATCTTGTTTAATTTTCTGTATTTTATTGCAGAATCTGCTGCTTTTCAGTGAGATTAATAGGAGGTACAATCTGTTGTTCACTGCATGGTGTGGTGCTGCATGTTTGTGGGACTTAACTGGAAATGCTCCCAGTAAAGCAGCTTTTCTTACTGGTTTGCTGTGTGAAACTAAACCCAGGCTTCCAGGTAAACATGCATCTTATGATCCTGACTCACCCGCCTGTTTTCCTGCTCTGCAGTGACGCGTTCCTGATCCTGCAAGCCGAAGTTAACCGCCTGAAGGAGAAACTGGAAATTTCTCGGCGGTACGAGGAACCGCTGAGCTCGACGAAAAACGAGAAGCCGCTGGGCGCCGCGACGACTTCGGCTCAGAAAACCTTCTGCCGCCGCTCCTCCCCGTCTCCCATCAGGTCCGATTTTATCCTCCAGCCTCGACTTAGTCCCAGGTCTGCACACCTTCATTGCAGCAATAGCTGAGGACACTGCAAAACGCTACACCAAGCAGCTCTGCACCCGAAATGAGACAAAACGAACTTAAAAATAACTTTTCAGCAAGAAATGTGAGCTTTTTGAAGTCAATAATTCCTTAATATTGATGAACAAACTGCAATAAAACCCACTCTGTGAAATAATCTTCACAATACTATCAAGATATATTTTTGAAATATTCCTCATTTTCTGCTTCGGTTTTTCTTTGTTTGGGTGTGGAGGAATTTTTTTTTATAAATATATATAAATATATTTACATTTTTTTAAACATTTTATTTATTTTTTGCTTTCCTTCATACGGTCACTACATAAAAACTATCTATATGTTCACGTGCTGGTCATGAAATTAGAATATTCTGAAAAAGGTTGATTTAAAAATCATTCAGTTCATCTATTGCAGCGACCCGCGGCTCTTTAGCGCCGCCCTAGCGGCTCTTTGGAGCTTCATCAAAAATGTTTGAAAATGGGAAATATAGTTTTTGTTTTAATAAAAGCCGAAACTACAAATTTACATCAATAAGCGATACAGTAATTTTCATCAGTACACATTTAGAATGACACTCAGCGATATTATTTTGTGTCGTTGCTCAGGTTGTGTTGCTCATGGCTGCTTTGTGTTACTGTTGCACTGACTTGCTTGGCTTTTGCACAGAAATTGAACTTAAACTCTATTAATTTAATTTTATATGCTTTACGTTTTCAAAAGGCTGCCGTTTTATTTCACTCCTTTTGTTGTTGTTTTATCTTAACGGTGATTATTCACAAAGAGCGATCGTCTTTATGCAAACTGCATTTGGGGGCAGATTTTCCAAAAAGGGAAAACATTGACACTTTCTCTGTCGCTCTTCATAATAAAAATGATATCAAAAATCTGATATCATTTATTTAGTTAGGGTTTGGGGTTAGGGTTTAGTGACTTGTTTTTAGCTGTTTTTCAGTTTTTAGTTGTTTTTAGCTGTTTTTCAGTTTTTAAACGTGTTTTCCCGTCTGCTCGTCAGATCCACGGAGCTTTGCAGTGACGTCGGTCTGGAGAGGAAATTAGTTCAGACCTTCGATGACGTCGAACCGGAGACGCTCGTCTCTCATCGAACCAGAGAGACGAGAGGCGCCGCTGCGCCAAAACAACAGAATCTCTTCTGTGAGTTTACCAATACTTTAACTAGACACCTGCAGGCTGTTTAAGCAGCTGCAGTAATTTAAAGCTTCCTGGAATTGTTGAATTTCATTTAGGTGTTTTCAAAGTTTGGAAATGTTTGATTTCTGTCCTTGAAAAGTGATGAATGTTTAAATATTAGTTAAATTTAACGCTAAATTAAAATCCTAAATTTGGTAAATGTTATTTACAGTTGGAACCAAATGCTTAAAGATAATAAAGTTTCTTTTTTTTTTAGGTCAGTTAGAATCAGAAAAATGTTTTCTGTTTATCAAATGCCAGAAAACTTTAAGATTTTATTTAGTAATTTCTGTGGACCAGTCAGCGTGTAGAGACCTACAAGAATACAATCATAAATGATCATTAATAAGAGTAATAAATTATATCACATAATAGTGAATTAGAACTTCCTGCTTTAGTTCATCTGTATTGTTTTTATCTCTAATCTGGTGCTGGAAAAGTTTGGAAAATTCCCTTGAAAATCCTTAAAAACCTCTTTAATTTTACTGTTAGGAAATATAAAACCAGAAATGATCACCATTCGGTCTCTCGTTCTGGGCTTTATAAAAATTGGTGCAACATACCAGTAATTCTTTTTTCCCGCTCAATAACAGGAAGTTGTTTATTGCGTCTTGTTTTGTTTTTTCAGTCAGGGGATCAGAACCGGAGCAGCTTCAGTCTCAGGTTTCCAGATTCACCCAAACGTCTCTGGCGCCGCCAAACATCTCGACCTCTGACGTTCGCAGCAGGAAAACACAGACGTGTAAGGATTTATCTCACGTTCTGCTGCTGCTTAAATGAATAAAACGCGGTTTTAAAACTCAGGGTTTGTCTCTGCAGGGATGTCCTCCGCTCCGGAAGCTGCAGACAAACCTGACGGCAAAGACCAGAGTCCTCTCTGTCCTCAGTGTCTGTCCATCCTCAGGCAGCCTGCACAACGTAAATCACAAGCTCTCATCCCCAGCCTGAGGCTCCGCCCACACCGAGACCTTTCAGGCGAATCCACTCAGGATTTCTGTCACTTAGGCTGTTCAGAAACCCACTCAGCTCCAAAAACACAAAACCCAGCCCCTGATGAAACTACAGGGGCCAAAACATGCGCAGCTTTTCTTGTAAAAACTTAGATTGTGGAGTTTGAAACGTTGAAAATTTGGTAGAAAGAAATCAGAAATGTTTAGATGAATCTCAGAAGTTTTCTGGCAAAACCGTAAAATTTTTTATAGTTTTGAAACGTTGAATATTAGTGAGAAAGAACTCAAAAAATTTTAGATAAATTTTAGAAATTGACAAGAAAAATGTTGAAATTACGAAAATTTTCCCCCTAAAAATTGAGAGATTAATCACAGAAATCCTCGAGCATGAAGATTTCTAGAGTTTGAACAGCAGAAAATTTGCAACAAAAAAACTTTTTCTAGGAAAACTTGTTCTTTTGGAGTTTGAAATACTATAAAAACATGCAGTGCTTGTTTCCAAGTGTACAGGGCCTTCGTCTGCTGCCTCTGAGTTTTATTTAAACATTTTAACGCCTACATAATTCTGCATGACTTCTGCGTAATTAATGAAGTTTTGCTTGATATGTGCTGGCAGGTCCACCAGGGGGCAGCAGAGAGCCGTCGGACCCGCCGTGTTGGTACCGCTGTCACATCTGTGGACTTCTCAAAATGCACAAATGCAAAGATTCAGGTGATTTAAGGAGAGAATAATCAATTAACACTGGTGAAGAAACTAACAAAACAAAATCAAAGAAAAACTGACTTACTTGGATATGAAACTGTTTTATTCACAGATTGTTACAGATACTTTCCCTCCAGTCACGTAAACCAGCAGCCAAGTTCCCCAGACAGAACCAGGAGGTCCAGCGTCGCCGCAGTTTCACCTTCAACCCTGAATCAGATGCCTTTGCACCCACAACAGCTACAGTGAGAAACGCACAAAAACTAACAAACCCAATACAGAAAAAACAGAAATTCTGAGAATTTTCCAGAAAACACACAAAAGTTTTTGGGTTTGAAAGTTTTCAGATTTGGTCGTCCCAGACGATGTCCTCCTCCGGCCACCAGAGGGCGCTCACACGCACGTTTAATATTTGTGGAGCAACAGAAAATATCAGCAGACTGAGATGTTCCTTTTTTATATATTTTATAATTATGTCCAAGTTTAATGTTGAGAAAAACAAAATTTTCTAATTATTTATTATTAATAAACAGAAATATTTTTATTTAATTTGCGAGAAAAATAAACATGTTTTTAATTCAGTTGACATAAAAGAAATGTAATATCAGTCGGCCATCTTGACACAAGATAAAACTGGGCTTTTTAAGAAAATGGCCGCTTATCAGTTAAACACTCTAATATAAATGGATTTTGAAGTGAATTTTTAAATTGTGTTTAAATAAATATTTATGAAGCATAAATTGAAATAATCAGTTCTTTTTATTATTAACCCTGATATTTTCCTCCTTTTTTCCAGGATGCCCTCCAAACCTCGGTGTTCCTCTGCTGACATGTCGCCGGGCCACGGCTCAGGACTCTGGCGTCCCAGAGAGAGGAAGAGCCGCCGCAGACGCTCGTACGCGGGGGAGGGCCAGGCGTCGCTGGACGGCTCTCTGGAGCGCGCCATCCGCGCGGCGCGGCGCATGAAGCACACGTCCAGACACATGGCGCACTCGCTGGCGTCGGGCCTCGTCTACCAGAAGCTGCTCACGCAGTCCTGCTACTACTAGAGGCCAGGGGACAGCAACTCTACCAAAGTGAATAAAAACAGTAAATTTTCTGCTTTGTTACTTTTCTTTGGTTTTACTCTCAGGAGAAACTTTTCCATTCGGCTTTTGAAGATGAATTTTATTGTTTTGTTATAAATGTGCGCAAAATATTGTCAATATGTCAAAAAACACGACTTTGTAATTGCGTTGTTTCCACTTCCTGTCGTCGTCTTTGTCGTTTCTTGCAGTGGTAGCATCCTGTTGTTGTTACCTGCAAAACAAAGTTGTTGTCTTTTTTTTGCATTCCAGTTTTGATAAAGTAAAAAAAGCCTCATCTCAACATGAAAGACTTTTTAGCAAATTTTTAAAAGTTTTTTTTCTCCATCAGATAAATTTATTTTTGTAATTCCAATTTGCACAATTTTCTGGTCAATGGAAACGCAGCTGATGAAAATAGTTTTATGTTTATATGAGATAATGATAAAACTAAAATTACTAATTTTTAATAAGTACTGTAGATCATATTGATTTAATTTACATGTTGTAAATGTTTTTGTAACTCACTTTTCTATATATTTATTAATATGTTTTAACTGTAAACTAACTTCATTATTTCTCTTTATGTATATAAATGATTTTTGTGATTCTGAACTTTAAACTCTCTTCCTGCTGAGATCAGAGTCATTTCAGAATAAGAGCTCGACATTATTTCAGGTATAATTTGTTAGTCATGTGACCAGATGGGAGATGTGACCTCCGACCTGCAGAGATCTCGCTCACCAGCAGATGGCGCCGACCAGCTGTAATGTAAGTAAGATCTTTAGCTTTTATTCTACATTAAACTTAAACAGTTTCACTTGAATTTTGTCCTTTTTTATGTAAAATTGGCTGAGAATTTAAAGGTGAAATTAAATCAAAATTATTTTTTCCAACATTTTCATACAAAGTATTGTTTTATATTAAAACAACGAAGGTTGAATATTGAACGACAGCAGCTGAAGGTCTTTCAGTTTTATTTTTTACCACTTTTCCTCTTTTAGAAACAGCAAATTTAACCATTTCTGTTTCAGATAAACCTCAGTCTAAACTCAAACTAAATTTTTATTAGTTTCATCTTTGAACTTTGGTTCATATTTCTGACTTCACACCAAAAATATACAAGTTATGTTACAGTTGATTCTTTTATCTATTAAAACTTATACATTAAAACACAAAATCTGAACGTATTTTGTGTAATTTGTAGTGCAGTTATCTTAGCAAACAAATACAACAAAACATTTTTATTTTTTGCTGAAAAGTCACTATAAGTTAGTTTTTGAGTAAATAATTCCTTAATTTTGCTAAAAAGTTCTGATTACACTACAAATTATATCACTACACATGGAAAGTCATTTTACAAGAGAAACTTTTTAAATCAATATTTAAGAGTTATTTACTAAAAAATCAGCTGATATCTTGTATTTCAGGTGTAATAAGATATTTTAACTTTATCGTATCAGTTATCATTTAAAATGATAAATAATAATGTAAAAATTTTGACTTTTTGTTTTCACTGTAAAACCTTAAAAAAGTCATGTTTCTTATCATAACATTTTTAAAAACATTAATGTGACAAATTGTACTTTTGTATGTACGAAAACTTTTTTTGTGCCGAAACCCAGCTTAGATTTTAAATATTAAGTATATAGTAGAAATGCAGTCATGAGATGTGAAAGACGGCGATATGTAATGGAAGCCAATTTATTAGACAGCCTTAGTACATGTCGGTACACATGGATGTGCTTTGTGCTTACACACTCGCAAACATACAGTCCCAATAAGAAACAAGACAGACTGTTATTTTTCTCTGATGAATAACTTTTAAATAAATACATTGATTGGGCAAATAAAGCCTAAATTATAAATATATAAAAAAACAAAAACTCAAGCATTTGCATCACAGAAAACTCATTATAGGGCAAAATACGACTTGTTTGGCCTACAGAAGGGAGGCGATATCACGCAGGTTTAGTTTTATCATTGCAAAGCCATTCAACTTCAGGGACGGGGTCACGTTGCACCAAAAACAAAGTAGAGTAGTAAATATTTTACCTAGTTTAACATCTACAGCTAAAACGTCACAAACACGGCGGCTTCACAGAAAAGGCTTCACTACTGCACTGCTTTAAAATAAATCACAATTCAACAGTAAGACGCTAAAACAGCAACGTATGGCAGATACACGACACTACTTACTCAGTGCACGGCCCGGTTTGTACTAATGATCTGACAGGATACAATACTGAAACACAGCCGGGCCTCTTTAGGGTTAATCATTAATATAGCAAGCAACAGCCTTTTTTAACAATAAATCTTCTTTTTGAGTGGAAAAAGGTTGGTGCAGGAAATTACAGTAAGGAGGGGTGAAGGAAGGTTTTAGCGTTCATTTAATATTTTTGTTTCTCTTCCTAACTGAGCTTATTGGGCGAATACTGAAACCAAGAACTTTGTTTTTTGAGAGTCAAACAAGCCGGCACAAACGAGAAGAACGTAAAAATCTCTGTAACATTGTTCTCCCTGTTGGCGCTCGTCATGTGCTTAACATTTTCAGCAACGTTTCTACAACAGAAAAACAGCCAGGTTTGGTAGATTAGCTTGTTAGCTTGGTTAGCAAATAGCTAGCTAGCAAATTCAACTGGAGAAAACTGCTAAGATGTTTGTTGGTTGAAAATGTTATTTTGAAATTAAATGTATTCAGATTTTCAAAATAGGAAAATGTCTTTAAGAAGGTACAGTAACAAAAGGAGAAAAACGGTTAATTTAACTGGCTAGCTTAGCCTACTTGAATAAAAATTGTTCTGATTTGGCTGATCAGATTTCTTCGCTAACGGCTAATTAGCATTTTTGTTGACAGCTACATGCTAAGAAGCAACTGTTGTGAATAAAGTGATTTACCAACTTATGGCATTTTGGACTTATGGCATTTTGGACTTATTTCTGTTAAATAAGTCCAAAATACAGGCTACTTTGGTGCACGTGTCACATTTTGTGGACAAAATGGCAGAAAGGTTGGTTTTTAGCCATTAGTTTAGGTAGCTTATAGCTTATTAGCATAAAACCTTGAAAAAAAAGAATCTTTAATTAAATTTGAAGATGGGTTGAGAGCAGGAGGCAGGTGCACTTTTAGTTACCAACCATGTTTTCTAATAGTTTGACACTCAGAAGTTTTTGGCGTCGTATTCAACCCCAAGAAAATAAGCTAATCGCTAACTCCTCTGCACTCAAAACACTCGACACAAAAACACAGAACAGTCCACACGAGTCCAAGCATGCTACTGAATACGAACATCTCAGATGGGCAGATGGCGCTCCTCTCTGCTGAAATATGTGAATACATTTATATTGCATGGTATATTTTACAAAATGTCGTCTCAAATTGCACATCCCCTTTCGATCTGCCAACAGTAAAACTCACAGGGAGGAGGAACGCTAGAGGAAGAAACTGTTTACACATCCTAGCATAATGTTAGCTTACAATAGAACATTTTGGTACTTTGCATTTTATCTGGCCTTCAAATATCATCTTTTTTAAATAAATTTAATTTGTTGCATCCACTGTAAAACAAGAATACTTGCAACAGTTTTATTCTTTGATATATATTTTTCTTTTTTTCTCTTTTCCAGGCATTAATGCATACATAACTGATGGATTTGGCCGGGAAAGATGAAGAGGAGGACTCTTAGCTTGTGACTTCCTCATCTGGTTTGTTCATGGCCTTGAGCTGCTCCAGCAGGCAGGTGGGAGTGAAGATGTGGGTCGATCCTGGACACAACACACACAAACGCAGCATTAAATCTGAGCGTTTAGTTTCACTTAAATCAAAATAAAACGTGTTCTCAGCTTTTGTTATGAATGCCTACGGCAGATGACAGCAGCCGTTGAAAGAAAAGATGGAAGCCCGGAGTTATGAAATCATAATCAGTTAGTCAGAAGGTTAATAATGAATCATGTAGGAAAAATAAATATCAATATCCACTTAAATGCTATAAAAACCAAAGAATTACTTTATCTGGTTTCCCCTTACTGACGTTTCTCAGAGAAACAAGAACAAGTCAAAGGATTCTTTATGTCTTAAACCAAACAGCAGAAATATTTTAGTTACTCAGCTGTTAATGCTGGGACTTCGATGCATTATTCGCATGCACATGCGGCCGAAACCATCGGTCACAACACGAAACACATGAGCAGGCAGGAAATGACTCCAAGCTCTCTACCAGAAACACAACATCCGAACAGAAGCAGCTGTTTGGTTTCATACGCACACAGAGAGAAATGTTCGGTACTGATGGAGTTAAACCAATTCCACACTGAAACGTCTTTACGGCTATTAAAGTGTTTAATTTCCACTTTGTTATATTTCAGATGTTTGGTTGTGGTTTACAGCGAATGAAACCCAAAATGCAGACCAATACAGATTGATGATCAAAACAGCAACGTAGGTAGAAACTAGTGAAATGATCCTCAACTAATTTTGTAATCAATCAATTAATTAACTGGAGTTCAAACAAAAAGGTCATTTGATGGAAAATAACACATTCAAGCCAAATTTGTACAAATAAAGGCAAAATGATGTAAATATTTTTCTACATGCCTTTTCCTTCAACTAAACTTCCCATTAATTCTTGGATGCAAACTTTTAATAATAATTATTTAACAATATTCTACAATTTTGTAAAAAAATATTTTTTTTAGCAATAATTATTAGTGGTTTAGTGTTTACTCATTATTTTGTGGGATAAACTCCAAATTATTAATAGAAAATTCACCTAATCAGAGATTTTTCTGTAAAGCGCACCCAAAATGTTTGAAAGAAAACAAACCAAGGGAAGCTGACATGCTATTGGCTGTTGGTTCCAAAGCAGCCAATCAGGGAGCTCCATTTGTCAGGCTTTATGGTGATTGGCTGAAACACCAAAAGTGGATTTGAGGAAGACTGTCGGTGTTATGGATGAGCTAAATGGTTTCTACTGTGCGTGTTATGATCCAAACGTTGGTATATTTGGTGTTAAAATGATTAAAATAAAAAGTTTT